TTCCTATCCTCTATAATGCTAATTTTTTCCTCCATATTGTCAGCTCTGTTCTTTAAAGATTCCAGATTCTCCTTTATCTCCTCCATTGTGTTCTTCAGCTCCATCAGTACTGATTGGTTTTTCTTTATGATTTCAATCTCTTTTGTGAAGAAACTCCTAATCTCATTGAATTGTTTGTCTGTATTATCTCGTATTTCATTGAGTTTTTTATGATAGCTATTTTGAAATCTCTGTCATTTAGGTTATGGTTTTCTGTGTCTTCATGGTTGGTTTCTGGGTGCTTGTCATTTTCCTTCTAGCCTGGTGATTTCATGTACCTTTGCACTGTGGTTCCTGTATTCGCTTTGTTTTTCCTCATCCTGGAAATATCTGGTTGCAATTTCCACCCGCTACCACCATGTGGGGGTTAAGGTCTGTGTAATGTGAGCCCCCTGCCCTCTGCCCCTGCTGCTTGCTGCAATCGGCTGGCCACTTGGTCTGGTCTGGTCAGCTGAGCTGCAGTGTCCGGCATGCGGGGGGGGGGGTCTCTCTTTTGCCACTGGGTCATTGGCGTGGGGGGCTTCTCACTCACCCCTCTTTATCCGCTCTCCTGGGGTGCTCAGATGTTGATGGTACCCTTGTAGCAGTTCTGAGTCCTCTGTGTGGGAGTTTCCCACTGGCTGAGAGAGCCCAAAGAGCTACGGTTTCCCTGCAGAGGGCTGCCCCTCCCCCCTCTCTGGGAGCCATGTGGACCAGGCTCGCCGATCTGATGGGGAGGGAGAGGAGTTTTCCTTACCTCTCCCCACTTCCTCTGGGGGCCCCAGCACAGTCCACTCTCAGATGTGCGGCAATGTGGATCTTTCCGATCTTCCTTTTCACTGTCTAGGAGTCCATTGTTGGTCTGTGACTGTTCCTTTTGTTGTATCTTATCAGGGGAAGAGTTTACAGGAAAGCTCACTCTGCCATGACGCTGATGTCACTCTCCTCCATTTAATTTTTATATAGGCTTTTAATGGAATCTAGTGTTATTTTTTAAGCATGTTTTTAAGTGTTCTTAACTTTCATTTATATTCTCCTTTTTGTAGGTAGAGCAGCAGTGTCAGAGCCTTAAGGAGTTTTACCAAACTGAAAACCTGCGGAAGGAAGAGGACGAGGCTAAAGCTAAGCATTGGTCTGACTCTGCTGAGAAGCAGTGGCAGCTATTTTTAAAGAGGAGCTTTTTAACTCAAGATCTAGGGCTTGAGTTCCTTAATTTAATAAACATGGTGAGAATGACATTATATGAGTCACACCTTCTGCAAGGATTACTTGTCAAAGTCAAAATCGTAAATTCAAAAGTTCAACTGTCTATTAATCAGCAGTGCTGGCTTAGAAAGTTCTTTTTAGCTTCATTCAACCTAGAACAGTCCCAGGATTTACAAGCCTAGCATTTACATGCTTATTTGGTCCTAAACTTCTTTTTAGTTTATAACATGAAGGCTATGTTAATTATTAAGAAGAAAGAGGGACTATAATCCAAATGCAACGTTGTTATTATTACATAGAATCCTCAGTAGAATTTCAACCAAAAGTTCTGGGTTATGTTGAGAGCATGCAAGAAGATCCTTACAAAATTTCCAGCGGCTAAAGATAATGTCTAGGATAAATCTTCATTTTGAAGAATTTCTTACTATAGCAGATCTTTTTAAATTTTTTTTTTTAATTTTATTTATTTATTTTTCCCCCAAAGCCCCAGTAGATAGTTGTATGTCATAGGTGCACATCCTTCTAGTTGCTGTATGTGGGACGTGGCCTCAGCATGGCTGGAGTGCGTCGGTGCGGGCACAGGATCCGAACCCGGGCCGCCAGCAGTGGAGCACACGCACTTAACCGCTAAGCCACGGAGCCGGCCCTAGCAGATCTTTTTATAGTGAAACTCCATTATATTTAGAAATGTACCCTAAAGTTTAGTTGTCGAGTTATATCTGTAAAATATTCTAGGGCTGGCCCCATGGCTTAGTGGTTAAGTGCACGTGCTCTGCTGCTGGTGGCCCGGGTTTGGATCCCAGGTGCGCACCAACACACTGCTTCTCTGGCCATGCTGAGGCCGCGCCCCACATACAGCAACTAGAAGGATGTGTAACTATGACATGCAACTATCTACTGGGGCTTTGGGGAAAAAAAAGGAGGAGGATTGGCAATGGATGTTAGCTCAGAGCTGGTCTTCCTCACCAAAAAAAAAACAAAAAATTCTAGAATCCTTATATCAACCTCTGACCCATATAAAATTCTCTACAGAATTCTTAAAAGATGGCTAATCCACCTCTCCTTCAATACTTCAAGTATCTTCCTAATGAAACTTCTCATTTCACTGTTAGAAAGCATCAGCTGCTAGAAAACATTTTTTTTTTAATGTTACATCAAACGTGTCTTCATATCTGGTTCTAACCCTCTGTAGCTACACAGGGGAAAAAGTAGTATTTATATTTCATTCCTCTTACAAATGAAAGTCCTTATAACTTTGAAAATAGTTGCTGTGTCTAATTGAGTCTTTTCTGTAGTTAAACACATACAAATCTTTTCTATCATTTATGAGGTAACTTCGTTTCTCTCTCCATCCTGATCCCTCCTCCCAGAATTTTCTATGGTTTGTCAAAATCATTCAAAAATATAACTAAAAAGTGAAGTTCACCTTCAAAACAAAGTACAGCAAAGTTGACATCATTGTTTACTAGTGAGACCTAAGATTATGCTGACATTTTTAGCAATAAATTCTCTTTTCTGGTTCATATTAAGCTTGTGACGGAGTAAAACTCTCATCACATTTTTATTGCAATTCCTGCCAAGCTAGGTCTCTCTATCTTATCTCTGTATCAGCTATTTGTCTTTTACATACAAATATGCCTTTATATTTATTTCTATTTAATTTCATTTGTTAGTCTTCACTCACGATTCTATCTTGTTAAACTAATTTTGAACCTGCTACCTACTACATTAGCCATCTCTCCTGGGTTTAGTTCTATACATTGATAAGTAAGCCTCCCGTGGCTGCAATTAGATCTTTTATAATAGTGTCTGATGGGCAGGTTGACATTCCAATCCATTAAGCAATCAATTGATTAACCAGTTTTTTACATAGTCATGGATGCTCCCAGTAGTACTTTACTTCAACCACTATTTCACAACCTTTTTTTTTAAGTCTGCCATGGGAGACATTGCTCAAAGGAAGGTCTACCTACCTAGTATCCTATCAATTACATGAATATAATTCGGCATAAATCAGGTTGACCTCTAGTGATCAAGGCATTCTTTCTAAAGTGCTCACAAACTACTTGATCAACAATGAATTTATCGCACTGGTTTTCAATGTAAAGCTTACCAATCTGTAAATTATGTAGCCATCCTTTTGAAAATCAAGGCATTTTCCTTTCTCTAATTTTCTGGCCCTTCTCCTATTTTCTATAGATTTGCAAAGATAACTGACATCTGCAATTTTCTCAGTACTCTGAGATGTGGTTTATCCCAGTCTGGAGCCTGAATTCATTTAGAAGAGTTAAGTTCTGTCTAACTGTCCTTATCTACTTTGAACTACAATTTTCTCTTTATCTTCTTTGTTTCAATCTTTGCAGTTTGGAGGCCATTCTTGTTAAATCTGTGTGGAAAGAGAATATGCATTAAATAGTCCTAATTTATCTAATACTATCCTTAAGCAGCAGAGAAAACTTACTAAGCAATTTGCCCATGTTCTTATTTTTTACAGGTGCTTTATTGTAAAAAAGTAGTTATTTTCTACTTGGAACATTTAGAACATATATTATCTATCTATCTATATTTATCTCTCTATCTTTTACATTTTTACTCTGTTCAGTATATCTTTTTCCATCTCTTGATTGTGTACTTCTCTAATTTGCACTTATAGGGAATTAAAATATTTGCAAACTGCATTTTTTTTTTGCCTATCTTTTTTTTTGTGTGTGAGGAAGATTGGCCCTGAGCTAACATCTGCCAATCCTCTTCGTTTTGCTGAGGAAGACTGGCCCTGGGCTAACATCCATGCCCATCTTCCTCCACTTTATATGGGACGCCACCACAGCATGGCTTGACAAGCGGTGCGTTGGTACGCGCCTGGGATCCGAACCGGTGAACCCTGGGCCGCTGCAGCAGAGCGCGCGCACTTAACCGCTTGTGCCACTGGGCCAGCCCCCTGCCTATCTTTGTTATTACTAATTTCATTGCAGAAACTTTATTTTTCAGTTCTGGAATTTTCTGGTTCTGTTTTATTAGATTTATATTGCTGATGAAATTTTCTTTCTTGTCCTCTCTTTCTCCATCTTTCCTATACTTTCTTGACCATTTTAATTATGGCATTTTTAAAGTGGTGGTCAGCTAATTCCAACATCTGGATCCAGAGTTGTTTTTATTGTACGCTTTTTCTCTTGGTTTCCAGTCATGTAGTCCTGTCTTGGCGGGACTCGTTAATATCTATCAAATGTCAGGCATTAAGTATAAAAGATTGTAGGGGTCCCAGATGGTGTAATTTTCTTTCCCCCCGTGGATGTTGGTGTGATCACTTAAGCCAATCAAGAGCTAGTGGAGTTGAGTCTGGAGTGTAGTCCTCTCAAGGCTCACTCTACTCTCTGGGCTCTCAGAGATTTCACCTTAGAGCTTGGTGCATTCTTTGAGTTCTCCCCGCCGGCAGGTCCCCAACACCAATCTTTGTCTTGGGAAACTGCTGCAAACCTCCACTCTGCTTTTCAGAGGGTTTTGCTTAGTTTTTTTAATCCACTGCCCTGTATGGCTCCAATAGTTTGTTAATGTCCTTAGAAGAAGATCAGCTGTGTTGCTTGATGCCCCCTCCCCACAAGTGTCTGCCAAAGCTCTATTGGTTTCTCTGTTCTCCAGCAAAGCCTCAATGATCAGCCTCCCATCAGTGCACAGAGTTGGGAAATGCCCCTGGCCGGGGCAAAAGTGGTGACAGGCGAGCTCAGGTTCTTCCTTCTCTGGAGTCTCAGCCTCTTGAGTTCTTGCTGTGGCAGCAGCTCTCAGCTGCCTTCAAATAGATGCTATCTGCATTTTTTCCAGCTTTTCTGGTTGCTCTAAGCAGAATCACTGTTCTGCCGCTGGCTACTCCATATTACCCAGAAACAGAAGTCCTTTATTACTTATTTAGAATGTTGAAGATTGTCCAGTCAGATTTTCATTTAAGATCTACAGCAGGAACCCATTCTGACTAATGTTTTGTGTCTATGTCTGAATAAATTTATGTTATCATGATATTCACATGCTCACTTAAATTCCTTCTTATTGGTAAGAATTAAGGTCCGCATAATGGTTAACTTTATTGGTTCAGTGACATTTGGAGATATGAAATTTTTGGTAAAGCAAGTAAAATACAACTTTTATTTTCTTCTATCTTTTGGACCATTAGGCTTTTAAACAAACATTATTGTTGAAATATGGTAACCGGTTTGGTTGTTAAGAAGGAAGAAGGCCAGCTGGCATTTTCCATTGAGTGTTCTGGTCGTGATTGGGTTGCTGTGGCTCATATTTTCAAGATTGAAATTGAAATTTTTTCAGTTCATCTAAATATCATCCCAATCAAAGAAACCAATTTAGGCCAGAAATCTGGCAGACATCTTGATGAAAGTGCCAATTTACTAATTTATAATGGTGAATACCAAGAATGCTCTCCAGGATACTGCCTTCCTGTTATCAAGGTATCTGGAAAGCAATACGTTGGAAGATCATTCATTGTGTGTGAATCTAATTGGGAAGTGGAGAATTTAGTGTCCTAATTACACCAGATTATGGCAAATTTTTCCATGTCCTTACACAGAAGTAGGATGAGTAGTGTGTTTACTAACTAAACCTCAGGCAAATTATTTAATCTTCCTGAATGGCCAAAATACTTCAGCTGCCAAATACGTAATCACTCTTCTTGAATCCTGCTAGCTAGATATGAACAAATAGTCCTGTAGTTCTCCCTTTTCTAGACCTTACTCAGATCAATTATGATTATGGTTGTAACTGACATGTTGCAATTTTCAAGTTTAAATTAAATTATGTACTATATTACATTTTGAATAATAGTTTCTTAATAATATGTGAAAGATACCCTAACTTTATTAACAGCATGAAAATATATTTAACAGATAAATATATTTAACAGATAAATATGTTAACAGATAAAAAATATATTTGTGATTCTTGCTATAGTTGTCTAATATCTTTTATAGTATGTCGCCTCTTAGTCATCATAATTATAGAATGCATCGTTTTATTACTAGATCCCCAAATTCAAGGGGGAAATCTCACTTAGTACCTGCAATTATATTTTTTGCAATTAATTGACATTTTATAATGTCCAAATTAATATAGAAATATAAATGTGGAATATTAGCGTTATTTAAAATAATTTAAAGATAAGATGGCCTATTATTTAAAATATTTTGTTACATATTTAAGACACTGTCTTCTCACTACAGTCTAAAAGGTTCCTTAACTTTTAGATACCTAGCTGTCATTGCCCTTCTAGAAATACATGTACATTTGCTCCTTAGAAATTCAAAGATATATTGAGACAGGCTGGCCACGAAAGTAAAAACCACTGTTTTGCCAAACAAATATTCTTCTGTATTTTTTGGTGCTTGCACAGAAAAAAAGCACTTGGTCTTACTCTTTACCTCTCTTATCCTTCAGCCTCCAATTTAACTTCCCCTTGTTTAAAACCACTGTTTAAAGGATTTCCTTCAGCCTCCAATTTAATTTCCCCTTGTTTAAAACCACTGTTTAAAGGATTTCAAATCAGTCAGCTAGAACATATGGAAGTTGGGAAGAAGTCTTTGAATTTAGGTATTGTGCTTCTAGTGCACAATAGAGATACAAATATAGAGATATATAGCTGTACAGTTCAGTTCTCACAAAAGGGAGTAACTTGAGGAACTGTTCACTAGGGAACTTTAAAATAGTTATAATACGTACATTGGGATAGTTTAAAGAGAAAAACAGGCCCAAAACAAGCTGCCCTCTCATAGTCCTTGATATTAACATTTTGACATATTCTAATGAGTGTATTAAAATAAAAAGTGCAATACACTTCAAAACTTATGCATTAAAATAATCTTGACTGCAACATTTCTGGATCCCAGGGCTCAATCATCCCTCAAGCCCGGGAAATAACCAGACCCTAGCAGAGGACTCACACCGCTGGGGTCTTGAAGAACTCGAGACCTGCTATCCCAGCATAGAATACAAGTTGTGAGAGCCCTGCTGTGCCTCTCGCAGTCTTTTCAGATTTGTCTTGGTATCAGCACTGTGCTCCGCTTGGGTTGTGATCAATCATTTGCCTCCTAGAACCGTTTTATGCAAAAATGTTGTTATTTCTTGGGAAAGAAAAGCCATTATATGGATTATTAATTTAACAGGCAAAAGAGAATGAAATATTAAATGTGAAAAATGAGGTGCACATTATGGAGAACACTATGGAAAGACAGAAGGCGGAAAGGGAAGAACTGGGCCGCCTTCGCATGGCATGGCAACTTAAAGCCGCTGCAAGCAAGCCTACGAAACAGCAGTGGGGAGCATTCAAAGAACGACTTAGAAAGGTGAGGGAACATGCACCGAATGTTCTTCAGCCTTACAAAGGAATGAAATCCAGTCATACGCTACAACATGGAGGAAACTTGAAAACATTGTGCTAAGTGAAAGGAGCCAGACACAAAAGGATCGGTACTGTATGATTCCACTTGCATAAGGTACCTAGAGTAGTCAAATTCATAGAAAAAACAGAGTAGAGGTTACCAGGGGCAGAGGGGAGGGGGAATGAGGAGGTAGTGTTTAATGGGTACAGAGTTTCTGTTTGGGATGATGAAAAAGTTCTGGAGATGGATGGTGGTGATGGTTGCATACCAATGTGAATGTACTAATGCTACTGACCTGCACACTTAAAATGGTTAAAATGGTAAATTTTGTTACATGTATTGTACCACAATAAAAACAAAAAAAGTAAAGGAGACCCAGGGCCTGTGCTTTTGTCCATTAATGGTTTAGAACCACAAGCTGGCTCGAGGTAGTGAGTGTTTTCATGGAGATTGAAAAGTTTGATGACCACATCACCACTGGAATGATCATATTGTATTTGCTGGTGATGTCAAAGAATACATATGCATAACTATCCAATATTTATTTCAGACTACTCACAACTTAAAACTTCTTCAAGAAGCACTTATGCCTGTGTCTGCACTTGACCTTGGAGGGAGCCTCCAGACCATTTTAGGTCTACGGAAAAAATGGAATGAAATGAAGCCTCAATTCCAGGTGAAGAAATAGGTCGATGGACTTGGGTGAATGGAAAAAAAATTTTATAACTATTTGGTTGTGGTTTACCTAATTAATTTTCACAGACTGGTGAATTAATATTTTTTTAAACAAAAGCATTGCTTGTCTAAAAATCCACTTTAAAGACATATTTTTCTTACTGTTTTTCTGCAGTGTTCTATATTTGATGATACACAAACATTCAGGCTACAAAATAATATATTCTTATCTTAGATTATATTAGTTTACATTAAATTATTTCCTTATTAATCTATTTATCATATATATTCACTCTATTTTCATAAGGGGTATAGACGTGTTTTAGATAGAAACATCTCAGAGCAAGGATGGGCAACCTCTGACATAGAGGTTCTCCTGGCCTCTGTCCCTGAAATTACTACTGTGATGTCACTGTCCCCACCCACTGAAACCCCAGGCTCCTACCACCCTCCCAGGAATTTTGCTGTGCTCTCCCATTCTCCCTCTCAGAGAGCCCTCAGGATATGAGAGATAAAGCCCTGAGTCATGTTCCCAGGCCCTGACTGCTAAATGCATTCCCTACCCGGACCTCCTGCCACGCCTAGACCTAACACGACTGTCAAAAATAGTAGCCAGTCACTTTATCTTTCTGCCTAGATTCTTGTTCTTTGCTGCAAAGTTAAATACCTGCGTATCTGTTTGTCACTACTTTGTTAGTGTTGGCTTTAAAGACCGCCAGAATGAGAAGATTGAAGATTTGGGGAATATCTAATTTAGATTCCTTTAAGACAAAGCTGATGTAATATATAACCACCCTACACACACAAAACACACACACCTTTGTAGCCCATAGTGAACTCTTTCCTCTAAACTCTTAGAAAATTCCATTAGCCTACCTGTTAGGTTCTTTGATATACCCTATGTTATGTGTTTACTTGCATTTCATCTGTGCACACATGCACACACCCCTGCACATGCACGAGTGTGTGGTGTGTGTAAATGCCTCTAAATCAGGGACCATTCCCAAGCTTCATTGGCTCTCTCACTGTGACATTCAAGTATTTGCTTGATTTCAACTCGAAGAACCTTATTACGTTGCTCTTCTGGAGATTATTTCCTTAGCCCTAAGTCATTTCCATTACTTTTATCTTTGATATAAGATCCATTCCTGAAATTACAGTGGCTTCCTCTTTGAGTTGTCCACCCTTTGCAAGTTCTCCCCCAGGATCTGAATTCCTATAAGAGATATCGGAGCAGTGCTGGGTAAAAGGAAGGCAGTTTATCCCTCCCTACACGTGGTGGCTATTTGTGGATTCTGGGATGACCATTTTTAAAGCAGCATATCTTCTATGTTGCTCAGCTGGTGGTTCATTCTGATCATTCTTTTATCACAGACGTCAAATAATTCCCCCAACATATTTTTACACTGTCTTCTCGTGGTGTTCTTACCATACCACCCAATTCTAGTCTGTATTGAGATGATCATGGCTTCATAAAATATCTAAAATACATTTACTTAACAAATGACTAAGACTATTTGTTGTGTCATAGAAATATATGACTTTCCATTTCACCACCTAGCTTTGAAACACATTTTTTGCATTGCTCATAATTTTTAAAAAATTTCGGAGAAGATGGGGATGGAATAATATATCCCTAGCATCAAGCACAATACCTGGATTTGCAGGCGTGGGGGTAAGGCTCACAATAAGTATATGTTAACAAATGAGAGAATGACTCATTATTTAGATCTTCATATAGTCAGTTGTAAAGTAAAAAGCTCTCTAAAAGCTGGATTTGTCTTATTGTTTTCAACTTTTTAGCAACTGAATGATGAGGTTGAGTATATTATAAAAGAATCAGAAGAGTTAGGTGACAAAGGAGCCCCTGTGAAAGAGAAGTTTCAACAACTGAAGGACCTTATTCACCTCCATCAAAACCAGAAAGAGAGGATCCGAGATTACGAGGATATCCTGTATAAGACAGTCCAGTTCCACCAAGTCAAGGAGGAGGTAAGACTTTTTGTGGATGTCTGGAAGACCCTCTGTTTTAAACTATGAAGTTAAATGTAAATTATTGTGAAATAAAGGCCAAATTGCTTATTCTGATATTAGAAGCTTTCCACAATCTGGCCCTAACTTTTCTCTCACCACGCCCCATCCTCCCTTATGTTCCAGCCAAACTGAGCTCTTCTTTGTCTCTCAAAGATGACGCACACATTCCTCACTCTAAGCCTTGACTCCCAGGTTGCCATTATCTGACAGGTCCTTTTCTTTCCTCTTTACTATCTAAACCCTGACCCTCTTTCCAACAATCCTGCCTGCTTTGAGTGATTTCTTTCTCTTCTAAATTCTCAGAACTCTCATTGTTTATTCTACACATCTGTCTTTTTTAACATCTTGATTCCTAATTACGTTTTGATAAACATAGCTCTTTTCCTACCAACTCAAGTGTTTAAGCTCTTTGAGGGAAGAAAACAAATTCAATTTTTCTGTATCTCAAGTATCTGATGTCATAGGGTGCTCAGTAAATATTTATTTGTTGGTGGCTGTTGTTTTTACAAAATCTTCATAGTTATTAGCCTCTATTAACAGAAAATGGAGATGTATTGATATCCCTTTAAAATAGCCTCTGAATTTACTCAGATCACCCATTTAGATCTTGCTAATGTTTTAGGCTATGACCAAAAAGAGTGTTTTCTCTAACTAATAGAACTGACAACATTAGCCCCTCAATTTTACCTATTGATTTGTAACATTTCTTTGGCTATAACACTAATAATTATTGATGGTCTTGACAGCATTTTGACCAGCTCATAATATATGTTATAGGAAATAGGCTTTAAAAAGAAAACTGTCTTCATAAAAATATGAAACCCGTGGTAATTGTTAATGTCCAAAATTCCAGCTGGGACATCTCATCAGATCAAGAGAACTGGAGTTTCTGGAACAGCCAAAGGAACTGGATGATGCTCACGATGCCCAGGTTTACCTCAGTCGCTCTCAGGAAAAGCAGGCCCATATAGACCATCTCCATAAACTGGCCCTTTCCCTGGGAGTGGACATCATCTCATCAGTGCAGCGGCCTGTAAGCAACTTAGAACACCATCATTTATAGCCAATTGTAGCTGGGAGTTGGGCTATACTATGAAAGAAACCAGGCAGATTGCCTAAAAAATATATTAAACCATTGGAGTAGTTATTTGTGGTGAGTTTCTACCACTTATAACAAAAGAAAAAAAATTAAGGCAAAGAAAATCTGATTATCAAAGTCTTGTTTAATACATCTATTCTCATGTTAATTCAAATAATAAAATTGTAGAGCTGTGTGTCTAATATGGCAATTGGGTTTTAACATTTAAAATATGCTTAATACAATTAAGGAATGAACCTTTTAATTTAATCTAATTTTAATTAATTTAAATTATAACTAATATTCAGTATAGTTATTGGAAAGCTTTTAACTATGCTGGGAACAATTTGGATATGTGAATCTACTTTTAAAACTGTAAATTCGATGAAATTTAAATACGGATCCAATATTTCTGATAGAAATTTAGCAACAATTGAGATGTGCTCTCAGTGTGAAATACATACCAGATTTCAAAGATATAGTATGAAAAAAAACCTTATTAATATTTTTATATTTGGTTACATGTTAAAATGATGCTATTTGGTTACATGAACTATATTATGAAATTAATTTTACCTGTTTCTTTTTTACTTTTTAATATGACTACTAGAAAATTTAAAATTACTTATGTGGCTCACCTTATATTTCTATTGGACAATGCTGCTTTAGCATTCCAAATCTGGAAGGTATCCAAGAGATCATGGAGCCTAGGACTCTCATTTTATAGATGGAGAATCTGATCTCAGAGAAGCCTCTTTATCCATAAAAGCCAGAATGGGGGAGCCACAGCATCCTGGCTCCACCCAGGGCTCTGGGCACCAGTCATTGGATCTGCTTTATTCCACTGGACTGACCTCAACAAAAGAGACTAAAAGAGAAGGAAATAATTCCAGATCAAATTTTCATAAATAACACATAGGGCTCTGATTTTTTAAAAAAAATATTCTTCTCCGAATTCCTAATTTGAGGGAAGAAAAGATTATGTTAATTCTATCCAGTCATGTATCATATTAATAAAATCATATGGCCAATTTCATTTTAAAGTTCATTTAAGATATCCACTAAACTATACAGAATGCAGTGAACCTAAAGTATTTTTTTTAACTGAAAAGACAGAGAAATACAAAATATCTGTTGCTGCTAATAGAACCTATTTTTACCAAGAAGGAGCTTTCTTTTTAAAAAGTTTTATTTTATTAGTTTACAAAGCAAAAAAAGTAAGATGTCTCACTTTGCACAAATAATGTAAATTGTTCTCCAATCCAAGTCTGGCCTTGGCCTCAGCAGCCCTCTGTGCTGAGTAGAGATTGGAGCACTTGCATAATGAACTCGAGGTTAAGCTCAAGTTGACAGGAAAATTATAGTGCAGAAGCCGAATATTTCTAATGCATATTTTATGCCCTTTTGAAGTAAAAATTATACCTTATAATGAATGGTGTCTCTGAGGAGCTGAGTGTGATGAGCAAATCTTCAAAACTGAAGTTTTGAGACTGGAAATGTAACGGTTTGCCTTTCCCATCTTGCTGGGTGTCTGGCTTCTTTGCGAAATCGTTACATTCAAATATGCTTAAGGTAAAATAAATCAGAAGCCTATTTATTTTTTTAAAAAGTGTCCTTTGTGAACCTCATAATGCAGGTAAAGAGCACATTCGTCTCATTGCTGTTTTGCCCATTCCCTTTCTCTCTTCCACTTCCCTTTCGTTTTTAGAACTGCTCTAATGTTTCTGCAAAGAACCTACAGCAGCAGCTGGACGTCCTTGAGAGGGACAGTATGAACTGCCATGCCAAGGCCGAGGAGTATGACCGCACCCTCACCCACAGCTTGGAGTACTGCTCCACAAGGGACGAGATAAATGAGGTGGGGTGCAGTGGTGTGAACTGACACATTGCCAAAAACCGCTCTGAACCTAAAGCGTGCGTCTTAATGTCCACACACACATAATCAGGAGACTTTTTTTCACTCGACCTTTAATCCTCTAAGCAATGGCCTCAGGGATCAGAAAGTATGAGTAAACTTCAAGCTCCCAAACTTGTTGAAGAGTTGGTATGTTGTCAGAGCATAGAAAAACCTACAATGCAGTATTACGGTTTTTTTGTTTGCCTTTTCCCCCCTACTCAAACCCTTCTAGCAGCCGTTTGCTTTAGTGGATACAGCCCGTCAGGGCAGAAAGGGTGACACTGTCCCTGTGCGGCCAGCTCCAGCCTGCTGAGATTCTATTTAAGTACCACTGACTCATGGTGAAGGGGGTGATAAGGGCCAGGGGAGCTACAAAGTATTACCACTGAAGTCAAGTGGCTGGTTTCATATTTACTCAAATGGAGCGGCTTCTCTGGGAAACCACTCCTAGAGAAAAAGGAGTAACAGATGAAATTCATCCCTGGTGTCCATGCACCCCCACGACCCCCACATAATTCCACCCCTTCTCCCTCAGTTCTACGCACACCCCCACCCCACCAGACATGAGCTGAACCACAACCACCCTCCCCTAGTTAAACTTCTGTTCAAAGGCGAACTGTTCTGGGGTGAAAACATAGATAGGGATAGCAAGGGTCTTGATTCTTGACTGGGAATTGACAGCAGAACACAAGGTACCATCATTCCAGATTTGTCTCCATTTAGAGCAAAATGTTTCTGAGTTTATTAGTCACAAGTCCATTAGGAAAGAGGGTGGAGGGAAAAGGAAAGGGTAAACCTTCTCTATTGTTCTGTTTATGCTGTTCACGCAATCCAGGGCCAGTGAGTATCAAATATTATCAAACAACGTTAGAGCATGAATTAAAGTGTAACAAGCTAAACTTGAAGGGTGGTCTAGCTCTGAATTGCCCCTTCCCGTCGGCTACACTTCCACAGACCACAGAGGCGCTAACACCAACAGCGATTTTCAATTTAGCAATGTGCCACAGGACTGCAGAGTCTCTGCTCGGGGTCTGTGTTCCAGAAAGTCACTTTGGGCTGGGGACTCGCTAATTCATTCATGGGGTTGAACCCATGCTGTAGCCTGCCATCTGTGTAGTAAAATGGCCTCTCCCAGTGCCTGTGCTGCGGCTAACAATGCTTCGGTCATGTCTTTTTAAGGAAAACAATCTTAAAGAGAGCACTGTTCTCCTCAAGGCTATAAAATTTAGATTCACAGCCAGGAAAACAATTTTTTTACTATCTTCCCCAAAGTTATCTTCTTTCTTCTTCTTCTTCCCCCTCTTCCTTTTTTTTTCTTTTGTAAACTTTGGTCGTGATGAAAATCTGTCCCTTCAGTGATATTCAGTGCTATATTTACTGAAACCACAGTTCAGCGGGCTAAGGGTTCTTCCCAGCGCCCCGTGGCTCAGTTTCCGTCTCCCTGAGGCGCTGTGGCGTTTGTAGAGCTGGGTCTCCCTGTTCAGCCCTTCCCACAGAGGTTCTATTTACAGGGCTACCTCGTGAGGGGTGGTGCTGGGAGCCAGCCGGCCGGGACAACAGATGTCCCTTCCAGTCATAGTAGGGACGCCCCAGGATTGTCTGTACCGTAACAGGAATGAGCAACCAGATACGTGTGGGTCTGATTTAGGAATCAGATGTCACTCTAACATGATCTTAAGAATTAAAAGAACTATTCTTCCCATTTGCTTTTACTTCAAATCCAACTAATCTTTGATGTAAGTTCCAGTTTCACATTTAAAGGATCTTTGAAAATCTTTTGTCCTTTTCTCTTTCCTTTCTTGTAGAGATGTAGTAGGCATGTCACAGTGTATAGTTCACACCCTGGACTTTCCAACACAAGCCTAATGAGAAAATAATCAGAAAGAATATTTTCGGTGTCCTTTAGACGAGATCGGGTGCGTTCAGGGTGGTATGGCTGTAGACTCAGTGCCCTTTAGTAAAATAAAGATGTGTGTTCTAGTTTGTATTGCGAATATCAGAGCACAAATAGATGGTCAGATTCCAAATGGTAACAAAATTTGGCACCTAGACATTATTATTATCATCATTATTAGTATTTGGTATAGTTACATAAAACATTATGTAAAATTAAAAGCAGCATGTTGCACTATTTTTGTTTTCTGTATAGGACAAATAAAGTCAGATACCCTACCAAGCGTAGCATTAGATTTTTTAAGTTGATTTGAAAAAACACATTGTGTTGCTTCCAATGTGCTTAAAGTGCTTCTTGGAAGTTCACCGGCTCTGAGTTGTAACAGATTTTGGAGGATGTCTAGCTCAACATCTTCATTTTTCACATGAGAAAACTGAGGTGTATACAATTTTCATTTGAGTGGTGTGCTACAGCACTGCAGAGTTTCTGCTCATAAAGTTTCAGGGAGTCAGCTTTGGGCCAGAGGCTCATTTATCTGGCACTAGCCTTTATTGGGCACCAACATTGTCACTTGCTAAACTCAGAGTTCACCGTTCACTTAATGTTTTAGCAGATTCAACCACTTGATGGGATGATGTTAAATGTATCCTTTTTCTATCTCCTCTTCTCTCTTTATTTTCCAGCACGTCTGTTATAAGCTGTTTGTATGATCTGATATAATAGCACAGTTCATTTGATTATTTCAACCAAAATTACTTTCTTGGCAATTGACTGCACTAAAGGCCCTTAGAAAAGGACTCACTACCTCAAGTGAGGTGTTCTAAATGTGATTTTTCTTTTTTTGATGTGAGGTGATAATTCCTTAAAGACAAAAAACCATGGTTTTGTGTCTTGACTATCTTTGGGTAAAATATTATTATTTTCTAATTTCATGCACTATATAAGACATAGGAAATTGTAAAACCTCATTTTCTCCATTTCTACCTACAAGAAAACAGTCTTCATGTTGCCAGATTTGGTTGAATTTTTTGCACCCATTTCACACAAAGATACATTTGTATGCATGAATATTGAATTTCACTATGTATTTTTTTGCCTGGCAATATAAATAAGTTGCTAATACACAAAGCATTATAGACATTTTTTACCATATGACATGACGGAACATCGTTAGTTACTCCTTCTTTACAGGAACTTATTTAGACATGTAATAAGTTAATATTGAGCATGTTTTCTTCTTGCAACCTGATCAAAAAAATCACCTTCACGTTTACCCGATGTTAATGGAAATTTGTAACTGGAGTCTCGTTATGGGTCACGAACAATGACTTTGCTGAAAAGAATAGTAATGACAGAATTGGGGTGGTATCCATTTTCTCAAAAGAAATTTTGCTAGCAGAAGCTTTCATATAATTATATTACTTCAGCTTGGAATTTTTACACTGTAGCAACATCTTGCCCATCAGGAGGGAAACAGAGGAGGACTTAGTATATATATTCCACATGTCAGAGTCTTTTGTTCCAGTCCTACATATTCTTTCATCAATTTGGATAAGTCAGTCATCTGAGTTCCAGGGGTACAAGGCAGATTAGAATCAGTGAATTAGGATCGCGGAGTGGTGCTGCTATAGACACATACACAACCAATCAAATTAAACCTCCTGACATTGTATCGCACTTTGCCGTGGACAGAAGGGCCGTGGGCAGTCACCCGCAGGCAGGAAAGGAAGCAGAAGAGTGTAGAGAGAGGCAAAACACCCGACGGGAGCAGCCCTATGGTATAGTAGAGATAATTATTATTTTCCAGACTGGTAACCCTAATTCATCATTTTAAGAAAAAAATCTAAATTATCGTCATTCAACAAATATCATTAATGTGGCTACAGTGTGCTGGGCCCTAAGAATACAAAAGTCTTCGGGAGACTTAGAAGTCTAGGGCAAATTAAAGCCTGTGGGACTTCACAGTCATAGTCGCTCTTTATCAGGCTCCACCATGGCTCCATTTGGATGGTATGTGTAATAGGATAGGAACGATTATAATTTGTTCTGAAAATGTCCATCCCATAGGGTTAAAGATTTTTTTTTTTTTATAATTTTATTTATTTATTTTTCCCCCAAAGCCCCAGTAGATAGTTGTATGTCATAGTTGCACATCCTTCTAGTTGCTGTACGTGGGACGCGGCCTCAGCATGGCCAGAGAAGCGGTGCGTCGGTGCGCGCCTGGGATCCAAACCCAGGCCGCCAGCATTGGAGTGCACGCACTTAACCGCTAAGCCACAGGGCTGGCCCTCCCATAGGGTTAAAAGCTGATAAAAGTTTGGTGTTTAACACGTGCAGCATGACTCTTCTTTCTGAAGAATAAAGAGAGTTGAAGTTTGGAATCATAATTATCACGTCCAAAAAATAAAACTTAAATATATTATGAGCACACAAAACTTGCAGAGTGGATAAAATAGCCATTACTGAGACGTGCTGCCACCTACAATTTCAAATGGAGCAATTGTCATCTTTTTCTGCGCTGCCCCACTTTCTCCTGCTACAAGACTGGCTGTAAGCACAGGGAGACAGCGGCGTGGTTGCCGAATGGAAGGAGGTCAAGAAAGTCTGTTGTCGAAATCTCTCCAGCTCTAAGGCTTAGTATTCTACCGTTAATAATTATAGCAAATCATTTGGGTTAAATTATGAGTCTTTGGGGCCTTTCATTTTAAATTCAGGCGTCCCTGGGTGGTGATAACATTGCAACCTTCTGTTACTGAAAATGAGCGTTAAAAAGCTTTTTTCTGGAGTGGGCAAAATAGTGGTAAAGAAATGAAACTTGTGAAGTGGACATTAAGAGAAATAGACTACTTGTTTCGCGTGTTTGCTCTTGGCCAAACATGCGCCATAGTTCTAATGAAAGGTTTTTGTTTCAAAGGCATTTCCTTAGTTTTAAAATGTTCCATATCCCTCACATAAATTGGCTTTGCCAGCAACAGACTCAGAAATAATGCATTCTTGTGCCAAAGCTGCCTCAACCAGTTTCGTCAAGACTAAGAATAGCAAGCCAGCCTCATTGTTAGCCTCTTTCCCTTCTGCTTCCTCTCAGAGAAGCTTTGTTCATTCCTAACCCTGAGAGAGGCTTACTGCTCCCTGGGAAATTTGGTGACAATGCTCATTCTGCTAGTTTCAAAAGAACTACAGTTTTAAAGTCTTAATTTAAACTTTTTTAAACTTAATTTAAATTTTTTTCCTAATTATAGGTATATTAACTTAGTCTGCTTATTCCATAACAAATATGGAAGAGCTGAGCAAGTGGAAAGATAGGAAAAGCACACTATTCATTAGAAAAACATTCTTTCTCCTGATTTTCTTAAGACTTTCAGAAATCTTATTAATATGATTTATAACAACATTTGAAGATTTCTAATAGGGTAAAATTTATCTTGCCCCAAGCTTTGGGTGTTTGGTTTTTTTTGCTTATGTGCTCCAGTTGAGCAGTTGTCTTAGCCATCTCCACCATTCCCCACTACTGACAAGCTAACTAAAGTTAGAAACAGCGGGGTGAACAATGATACCACAGCCAAGCAACCATGACACTCAGTTCCTTTAAAAACATGATCACAAATTACGTGTGGATTAGATGGGAAGTTAAGTTTTCATATTGGAAGGCACAGGTAAGAAAATTAGGCATGGCTAGATTTTTCTGAAAACCTAAGTTGCTGAAGGTAGTTCATGCATGCTGCCTTCCACTTGTATCTGCGATAGTCTTGAATTTGAGCTGGGAAAGGCATAGGATTTAAAATGGCTTTTCAGTGGATCCAAAAGAGAAAGTGCCAGCAACTTTGTCAAAGGAGCTCATGTGTCAGAAAGAAGCTGATCCCATTTCACATGTCCATAGCACCATAACATTATTTGGCTTTATAAATCATCTTCAAGGTGCATACATTCGGAAACAAATAGAAATTAAATTTCACTCATCATTTATCAGTCTTAAATTTCTTAATCCAAAGTAGACTTGGAATTTCATGGTTTAGAGTTAAAGCGTTAAGGCTCAGCCTTTCTGCATTCATCACAAAATTTTCAAATAGATGTTGATCTTTCACATTTAAACAAACAGATGCAACCCAGTGGTTACCAGGTTGATGACAGAGCCCCCCTTCCTTTCTCTAGTCTGAAGTTTGTAACATATGTCATGTTCCAGTAAGGAAAAAAAGAATATAAAATTTCATTTTCCAATGGATACATGTTAGTGACAGGACATGTTTTTTCCTTTTATTTCCTTTCATTTATGTTTATTAAAAATAAAAATTATAGGGCTGGCCCCATGGCCTAGTGGTTAAGTTTGGCACTCTCTGCTTCAGCTGCCCAGGTTTGGTTCCCAGGTGCGGACCTACACCACTCCTCAGTGGCCATGCTATGGCAGTGACCCACATACAAAATAGAGGAAGATTGGCAACAGATGTTAGCTCAGGGCTGATCTTCCTCAAGCAAAAAGAGGAGGATTGGCGACAGATGTTAGCTCAGGGTGACTCTTCCTCAGAAAAAATTAAAAAATAAAAATAAAAATTGTATTGTTAGGGGCCGGCCCTGTGGCATAGCGGTTAAGTGCGCGCGCTCCGCTGCTGGTGGCCTGGGTTCAGATCCTGGGCGCGCACTGATGCACCGCTTGTCAGGCCATGCTGTGGCAGCGTCCCATATAAAGTGGAGGAGGATGGGCACAGATGTTAGCCCAGGGCCAATCTTCCTCAGCAAAAAGAGGAGGATTGGCATGGATGTCAGCTCAGGGCTGATCTTCCTCACAAAAAAAAATTGTATTTTTAATTACGGTAAAATACACATAATATAAATTTACCATCCTAACCATTTTAAGGACATAGGTAAGTGATATTAAGTGCATTCACATTGTTGTACTACCATCATCACTGTCCATTTCCAGAACTTTTTCAACATCCCAAACAGAAATTCTGTACTCATTAAACAATAATTTCCCATTGAGGACATGTTTTTTAATATAAGAATCTCTGGTTTCCTCAGATGTGGTAGTTATTACATCTATTGTTGCAGCTTATGACTTTGGGGAAAAAGTTCCTGCCAAAGTTTTATGTGATTAACTAAGGATATAGTCCCTTTATATCTCAATCCCATAAAATTGACCTCATTTGTCCTTTCCCATTAAAATCAAACACATGCATATTAAAACATCAAATGTCAAAGAATTTAAATATTAATTGGTTATTTCGTAAATATACCAAATGAATATCATCTTTTAAATATTTTCCTGAGGTCTAATAGAGAAATAGTTTTCAAATTTTGAAGCTATAGTTCTTTCCACTCCTTTCCTTCAGAATGTTAATAATTTATCAGTTTAACTGCTTTGTGTGGTCTCTGTGCTTGGTTTAGTTTGTAGCTTAAAACTAGTGTTCAACAATTTTATTTACCATATAAGATAAGCAACACTGATTAAGTCTAGGTGTGTCAAATGCAAAAATTGGATCAGTATGATAATTTCCATGGATGCAAGTCTGCTAGGGCTTTACAGATAATTGTCTCCAAGAAGTGTGAAAGATAAGGTCAAAGTTTTGTTTTGATAACATGCGGAATTTGAAATAAGCATTTTGAGACAGCAAACGTTTTCTAAGGTAAATATGTTTTTCTGCATTACAAGTCTAAAATCTGGCATGTATACAGCCTTTATTCCCTCCCAAATAATTTATTTGCTGTCATTGAAAAGAATTTAATGTTTCTGACTTTTCTTATCATAGCTCAAATTTACCAACCATGACATTGTTCATTCTTGCTGTTAAATACTTCCATATAATTTGAGATGGTTTATGTTTTCTCTGTACTTCTCTTTGCTGATAATATAAAGAGAGAGAGTGCCTGTCAATATGTTTATCCTTGTCGAATATGGAGAAGGGCATATAAAGTGGTGTGTTTAGTGGAACTAGACTGTTTAGAATTTTGGTTCACTGGGAAAGCTGAACTATTTGTTAAGACTGTCATAATCTATGCCCTATTCTCAATGTATAGTCGTATTCTCTGTTTGCATACAAGTTAGCATTGCCATCATTGGCGACACTGTTACTTTATTTTCCTTTTTTTTTTTTTTTGTGAGGAAGATCAGCCCTGAGCTAACATCCGATGCCAATACTCCTCTTTGCCGAGGAAGATTGGCCCTGGGCTAACATTCATGCCCATTTTCCTCTACTTTATATGGGACGCCACCATAGCCTGGCTTGACAAGTGGTGCGTCAGTGCGCACCGGGATCCGAACCTGCTAACCCTCAGGCCGCTGAAGTGGAGCGCGTGCGCTTAACTGCTGTGCCTCCAGGCCGGCCCCTTTAATTTCCATTTTTGAAGGACCTCTGAAGTAAATGGCCTATATCTATGAAGTAAATGTCTCCTGGAAACTGCTCATGAAAAATAATTTTTAGCTGGATTTGGGCAAGTAAAGTCCTTTTCCTACTAAATCTCATGTTGGGTTTCCTCTTCCACCCCACTAATGTCCTTGGTGGTTTAAATGTCAACACTTCACTGACCTCTGCAACATGAACAGCTCCTTGGAGCTTTAATAAATTTATATGCGGTGGCTGTAAGAGAGCATTGGGAGGTGGAAGGATCTGGGACAAATATTAGCACATAGAGAACAGAATGAATGGGGAAAATGATGTCAAATAAATACAAATAAGAAAATTAGAGTTGTTGAAAGTCTACGATATGTTAAAAACTTTCTTACTTAGCGGCCAAAGGATGTTCTATAACTGTAATCTTAATTATAAATTACAAATCAAAAATTACTAGGAACAATTTGTAATTACTTATATTTTGAGGATATGTTTAAACTCACATTATATGTTCACTTAGCAGACTTGTTTTATATTGAAAATCACTCTGAATACATTTTGAAGACTAGGAATATTTTAAAATGTTAGATATTTTGATTTACTACAAGTGAATATTAGTGTTCTCATTTCAAGGAAATTACCTCTTTCTCTTTATTGAACTGCAGCTTAAAGAGTCATTCAAAGATGTCAAAAAGAAATTCAACAATTTGAAGTTTAATTACACTAAGAAAAGTGAAAAAGCTCGGAATCTGAAGGCTCTTAAGTATCAACTTCAACAAGTTGATATGTATGCTGAAAAAATACAGGTAATGAGAAAGTGTGTGTGTTTGTGTGTGTGTGTGTGCACTACTACAATGATTGTAAAATCATTTGTGTTTAAATTTTAGATGCCGAGATCTTGGGCTTTTTTATAGCATTGGAACTGAAAAGATAGTTTTCCATTTTTATAACAATTGGGTTCTTTGTGTAAAATATGTAATAAATTGATATCTCTCTTGAGGCAGCTCTAGAATGGAGCCAGAACTCAGCCTCTCTACTTCCATTCTTCCTACACACACACACACACACACACACACACACACACACGCAGACAGCTGTTGTACACCTCTCTTCCTTTTCTTGCACTTGCCTATGTCGGGATCTTCCTCCACTGCTCCCATAGCCCGTTATACTTACCTAGGTTGTCCCATGTCCTGGCTAGATTATTTGAGTGCCTTTCCCAGGAGACAGCGAGCTTACCGAGGACAATAAAATAGTTAATTTTATGAGCATTGTCTTTCTTTATCATAACATCAGTCTCAAAATCTGGAATAGATCCTGGTATATAGTAAATTTTCTATATGTTTGCTAAATGCTGAATCAATAAACTATCTGGAAGAAAACCCATTCTTTCCAAAATACATTTGAAATAATTATGCTTTTAAGATGATGGAGGAAGCTGCAAATTTTTTTCCAAATTTTCATCTCAATATTTAATCACTAGTTAGCCTCATAAATAAAAATTGAATATTGTTTTTAAAACTATTTTTTGCACAGGCTTTGGAAAGGAAAATGGAAAAAGTTGAGAATAAAACTTCTTTCTTAAAGTATCCAAATAATAAAGTTAATGTTCTTCTGGAAGCCATGAAGGATTTGCAAAAACATGTAAATGAGTTTGACAAAGTTGTGACAGATTACAAGAAGAATTTGGACCTGACTGAGCATCTCCAGGAGATGATAGAAGAGGTATCCTCTTCTTGTTGTAATGGTATCTATGTTGTAATGTTGTTTTAAAAAATTACTCTGCTGCTTTAAAACAATGTGCATTAGCTATTATTGTCATTAAACCCATATATCATGCTCTTTTTCATGATTATTTCCCTAGGATAATATCCTAAAATAGAATTGCTGGACCAAAGGGGATGAATGTTACAAGGTTTTGATTGTATTGTCCAACTGTTCTTCTGAAAGATTTTACTAATTTACTCTTACCAGCAACATGTGAGAATTTCTCACTTCTCCATAACCTCATCAACTCAAGATGTTTAACCATCATGGAATTATGTTAACTGCTGGATATCTGTTTAAAATACTCAAAATTACTTATTTATTTCACAGAATTTGAAAATGTTTAGAAAGAAAAGGTGATATTGAGATTTTTCAGGTACAAAAATTGTTTTTGGGGTTATTTTTGTTTTTGTCAAGAGGGTAAATGGTAGAGGATACATAAATTGTGTGAGACTTGACAAGTTTAAGTTATTATTTTGCACACTTCCTGCTGAAGAAACTCTACACTTGAAGTTCTTGAGTGTTCTTTGTAGTCCATTATTCTGAGATACAAAACATCTCTCTTTACCACCTATGCAGTAGAGTTTTTAGATTTAACACCACATTAAGGAGGATCAAGATGATCATTCTCCTGTATCTGATACATAGGTTTGCTGTAGCTCTGTGGCATGTATTCAAAGCCGGCTCCTAATAGAGTCATGTGTTTCTATTTCTCACCCAGCGTAAGTGCTTCTGTCCTTGGTCAGACACATTCCTACCACCACAGTTATTTATTTTTAGTGAGAAACTGTCTCAATTCTCCACTGTGCTTTGAAAATAAGACTTATCTTCTGTTAAAAAAAGGTCAAATGCTATTCTTTAGATGATAGTTCCTCAATCCATAGACTAAATCTCATTCTTCAAGGAGAATTTATTTATTAGAGTGTTTATCAGGCTATACTTTATCCATGTATTGTTAATGATTTCCATTAATTAGGCTGGGTTTTGTATGTTGGGCTTTTTTCTTTCCTTTAAATGATATTTGGATTCTTTTAGTGCCATATGCTTTTTATACTGCCTGTTCTTGTAAGTCTGCAACATTCCTCTTAGGAATTATGCTTCAGGCACCTGTAAGATGGCAGGAAAATCAAATGAATTTCCATACTTTTACTTTCTTATCTGACTCTAATCTCCAAGTGCAAAAGTATATGATCATGTTTTGATATTTCCTTTATTGGTACTTAGAGAGTTCAAACTAATGTGAATACAAAGTTTGAGGAAAGTGAAATTTGATCGTTCAGTGGTCAAAATGAAGAACTTTAGAAGGATGGTGTCTCTTTAATCTATACTTTGTCCCCTTTTAATTTAGTGTCATTTTTGGTATGAAGATGCGAGTGCTACAGTTGTAAGAGTTGGAAAATATTCCACAGAATGCAAGACAAAGGAAGCTGTGGAAATTCTCCACCAGCAGTTCAATAAGTTTATCACCCCCTCAGTGCCTCAGCAAGAGGAAAGGATTCAGCAGATCAGTGACCTCGCTCAGAGCTTATATGGTGAGGCCTCTTTTAAGATACCCAGTGATTTGCCTTTGAACAAATCCATACTGAACCTAATCTAGCAGAAAGCAGAGCATGGCAGGTCCTCAGGGTTCTCGCTACGCCAACCTATTCAGAGAAAAGGCTCAAGATAAGAGCCCACATCTGCAAAATTAACAGCAGAAAACTGAGGAAGGAACTTCTGACCGCAGGAGATGAAGCCAGCAGATGTTTAACATCCTTGTGTAAACTCTCCTTCTCTAGTCTTTTTTTGCCCCCATTCCTGTTGATCTTCTCCAAGGTAATAAAACTAGAGCAATACCCAGCTTCTATAAACAGAAAAATCTAATTTCCACTAGAGTGATTTCTTGAAAAACATAGAAAACTCCCATAAAACTTTAAATAGGTATAAAGCTAAGCCTGAAGTCTACAACCCTCTTATTTCTGTGAGGGCTATGGTTTGTGGATATAAGAAAGAGTGAAAATTTACCCTTGCCTTCCTCTCACCTGTGGAATAAACGGGACAACTCAAATTATGGTTTCACGGGTACTGCTCTCCTCTTCTCCATGACTAGGAAAGATAACACAGTTGTCAGCCTCAGAAGTCCTTCTATCTACAGGAGGCCCCCATTTAAGAAGCCCCCTTGGGTGGTGATGGTCCTTCAGAGTGCTGAGGAATAAGTTTCATGAATTCCCTAGTATTAACTATTCCCCTAGCTTGTTAACTAGGAGACAAAGAGTAAGACCCAGTGACCAGGCAAATCCAGCCCAGAAAGAAGATAGCAACAGGTGGTAAGGTATAAAATGCTTCATTTGGCTGCCCACAGCTGCTGCCAGATAAATATTTTTCTCTTGCAACATGAAGCACTCTCCATGGACAGCCATGAAAATTTTGTAGAACAATATATTCTGCACTACTTAATATTAAATTATTGAGAATGAATTATTAATGATTTTCCAAAGGAAGAGGGCAGGAACGTAAAAATAATAAAATATAGATTGAAAAATTCATGAAAACTAATGTGATGTCTGATTCTTACTATAGTACCTGTGTGAGTGCACTAAAAAATTTTGGAGGCACTCTGCTCCCATAGCATTATGTATGTTTCTCTCTATTATTGTACTTTTGACACTGTAACATAATTATCTGTTTATTTGTCTGCCTTCTCTACTGACCATAAGCTCTTTGAGGGCAAAGGAAGTCTATTTTATCACTATATTTCAGTGCCTATTCAATTTCGGGACATGGTAAGTACTGAGAAAAACCCATAAAATTTACATTCCCCTACGATCATGCATGATCCTATATTCTGCTTTGTTTGTATTCCTGGCCCTTATCACCAACTGACACATTATACAATTATTTCTCTGTTGTCTGGCTGTCCTTACCAGAGTGTAAGCTCTGTGAAAGCTGTTAGTTCACTGCTTCATGGTACATACTAGTGCTTAACAAATATTTGATGAATAAATGAATCATTGAATGAATAAGTGAATGGCATGTATCTTCATCTGTTTAGTATGGAAGCTATGCATTTTTAAAAATTTACATCAAGTGACATACTTTAGGAATATTATATCAACTCTTGCAGGCCACCCAAGCATTATCGAACCCAGAATTTTAATGCAAATAAATTTATCTCAAAAAAATGTTGAGCACCTATTGTGTACTAGGAGCTGTGATTCATCTAAAGACAAATAAGACCTAATCCCTTCATTCTAGAATCCCCAGTCTAGGACTAGAAGTCATGATATGGTAAATGCAGTGAGGAAGGTATGAAATGTGTGTATTAGTTTGCTAGGGCTGCCGTAACAAAATACTGTAGACTGGGTGGCTTAAACAACAGAAATTTATTCCCTCACAGTTTTGGAGGCTGGAAGTCCAAGATCCAGTTGCTGACAGGCTTGGTTTCTCCTGAGGCTTCTCTCCTTAGCCTGCAGATGGTCACTGTCTTGCTGCCTCTTCACATAGACATCCCTCTGTGCACACGTACCCCTGGTGTCTCCCCCTCTTCCTATAAAGGCACCAGTCGTATTGGGTGAGGGCCTCACCCTAACAGCCTCTTTTTTAACTTACTCACCTCTTTAAAGACCTTATCTCCAAATGTGGTTACATTTTGAGATACTGGGGATTGAGATGTCAACATATGAATTTTGGAGGGGAGAGACTTCAGCCCATAGCAGTGTGCAATCGAGTTTAGCCTAAGCTGTAGAGTCTGGTAGTCCTGGGTTTAAATCCCTGCTCCTCCGGTTATTGTCTGGGTCACTTGAGGAGGCTCTTTTGAGCCTTGGGTTGCTCATTTGTAAAATGCAGTAGAGCCTCCCCAAGGAGTACATTGTATAATGCATATGAAGTGCTTAGCCATAGGCAAATAAAAAGCACTCAGTATATGGTAGATGTTTTCATTATTATTCCAAAAGAGAGAGAGAAAATTCAGATGGGAAAGATTAAGAACATTTTCACAAAGATGTTGGCATCTGAGGGAGACCTGGAAAAGTGGGTAGGATTTTAACAGCAGAGATAGGGAGTGGGGAGAGGGCATTCCCAGAGTAGGAAAGAATACCAGTGGCTGTGGGGATTTTGGAGGAAGAGTTGCTGGTTCGGTTTGGCCAGAGATTAAATATGTGAGGGAATTAGGGTGACATACATTTGGGAGAGGCATGTTGAAACTATATCATGGAGGGCCTTGAATGTATGCTTTTCTAGGTAGTGAAGAACCACTGAATGTTCTGAACAGGAGAAAACTGATTAGAATGAAGCTTTCGGAATGTTAATATAGCAACATTATTTCGGTTACATAAAAGTGACATGATATAGCAAATGTAACTGTTTTTCTAGAATACCTATTTTTTTAAGTCTTTATTCATTTATTTATCTGTTCAGCAAGTATTTATTAAGCACTCACTATCTACCAGCCCTTACACCAGACCCTGGGGAGATTAATCAATGCCTGGGCTTTTTTTTGTTTTCTGCTAAGGATTTGACTTCTTAATTTTATCCCTTCCCTTCCCCAGGTTTTGAAGAAGGGCAGAAATATGCTGAGAAAATAGTGGCAAAACACAAGGAGGTTCTTGAATCTATTACTGAATTATGTGCCTCTCTTACAGAGCTTGAAGAAAAACTGAAGGTAATTTCTTCTTCCCAGTATATGTATTTTCAAGTGATACAAATAAAAATGTGTTGATCCAGTGTCTTCTGGTGCAAAGATGTTCTAATGGAAATTCTCAAGGGACATAATGTGCACATTTGTTTCACAGCTTTCTAACATAATTATCTGGGTGTTTCTGATAATTAATTCTGTTTCTTTTCCATCACTGCAGCAGAGAAAAATATTGCTGAGAATGAGGGCGAAATGCAATTAAGGTGTCTCGTTTACATTTTCATGGATCATGTCCTAAAGGATAAATGTGTGCCATTAAAATCAAAGTAAAGTCTGTATTAAGTAGCCTTATGTTTTTGTTCGTAAATAATGAACATAAGGTGTTATGGGTTTTTTCCTCCAAATTGTGGCCCCAGAGAAAATAAAACTAATCTTTAGTTATTATATTCATTGAACATTTAGCTTCATGGAAATATTAAACTAATCATGGATCTTTCATAGAATAAAAAATTGTTGGTAAAAAAATATAGAGAAAATATATTGATGTCTAAGTTTAGGCAAAATCTAGTTAAAAGACAGAAATATATGTATTCTTTTGTCTATGTCATGTGGAAAATTGGTTTCATTAGTGCTATTTTTACAACTGGCTGAAAGAACTGGTTGTTTAGGATGGAGGGAATGGGAAGCACAGGCTCTAGAGTAAAACACAGCCACCTGTGAGTACCAACTTCTCAAATTATTGGATTTGTGATTTGAGGTAAATTACTTAATCTCCCTGAGTCTCAGTCTCCTGATCTATAAAATGGAGGAAATAGGGGAACCTAATTACCGGGTAGCCCTGAGTATTGAGCATGAAGACCCCCATCATTATTGCTGTGATCGTTGTTGTTATTGAGACATAACGGTGCTCTTGCAGTTCGGAGCAGAATTATATTTATTTCTAGCAACACTTTTTCTGTATGACTTTCCATGTCATAAGTTTGAGTACTTATTCCATTCAAAATAGTTTGCTAAGCTTTTAAATCAGTGGGTGCCCAACCAAATTATCTTTTTCCTTTGGTTAAAGATCTGGATTTTTTTGACTTTTATCATTTTAAATAACACTACAATGAACATCTTTGTGCATAAAACTTTTTCTTTCTTGCATTATTACCTACGTGTAAATTCTCCAAAGCAGATTTGGGTAAATAGGTATGAAATTGTTAATGTATATATATATATATACACACACACAGTATTAGAATAATATATGTATATGTTGAATTGCTTTCCATAAACGTTTTACAATTATGATGCCGCCAGTAATGTATGCATGTGCCATGTATCTTATCTTTTTCCACATTTATCATCTCCTCCCCACCTCCACCCCACCCCCTGAAGATCTGTTTCTTCTCCTGACTTCGATACACAGCCTGAAAATCTCTGCTCCCTCTGACTCTTTGCTCTCTATTGTCCACAACAGCCCTCCCATTTATGTTGTACATCTTCAAGTGAGATCTGCTTAATAAAATACACTCTCTTAAAGTTATATCTCTTTCCAGCTTTCATCTTCATGGCTCTTCTTCCTCAAAGCTCTTTTCCTTCCCTCTCCCCACTTCCTCATTCCCCATTCCTTCTACACCCCCTGTAGTCAGCATTTCGCCCTCTCTTTCTCATTCCCAGTCCACGACTTGGATTGTCTTTTGTGTTAGATGGGAGCCTCCTGATTATACATTGCATCTAGATTACCCTTCCTAAACGTAGTTCTGCTAATGTCATTTTTACTTCCAGAACACTTCACTGCAAACTCTTCATTGCCTACCAAGTGAAGTTCAGACTCAAGGCCTTCCAATATTCTGAGGTGGATCATCTTTCCAAATCACTGTGCTTCTCCATTCATTGTAGGCTCCTACCTCACTGGTCTACAGCCCTACATTCCTGGGTTTCCTGCTTCTAGACCTTTACTTCACATACGTGACCTTCTATCTCTGCTTATCTAAATTTTACCATCTCTCAAAGCCAAATCCAAACACTGCCTCCTCCACAATTCCTTCCTTAGGCTGTGCCACTCGCTCTCTGATCTCCCATAGCACCTGTGTTCTTTCCTACCATAACCATCACATGTAACTACCATTAACATCCCAACCCCTCTCTCTACTTGATTACGCTTGAGGAAACCCTATGACTCTGTTCAGTTTGGCATCCCACACAACATTTAACACTATGCTTTGCCTAAAGCTGGTTCTCCAGAAAGGGTTTTGGCATTTGTAGTAGAAGCTCAAAGAATTGGTACAGAGAAGAAGAATCATTCAGTAGCTCAAAAAGGTTTGATTTGGGTGAATATAAAAACGCGAAAGGGCCTTTTTGGTAAGAGAAATAGGTGTCAGCATTGCCCCTACAAGTTACAGCCTGAACAAAAGCTGGTCAAAGAATGCTTACTAACACGTTACAGATGTTTGCGTGAGAGCATAAATTTGTCTAGTTTTTATGTTTTTAAGGTTGACGCTATGGCTCTCTTTTGCAGGGGTTATTAAAAACTAGGCCCATAAATCCCTGTCAAGGCTGAAATAGTGATAATATTCCTTTCTATTTTTTGTATAGCAATTTGAGATTTACAAAGGACTTTCATATATATTACCTCAATGATTTCCAAATAACCTTGTGATGACGATAAGGCAAATGTTGTTTTCTTTATTTTAGAGGTGAAGTTCAAAGAAGGTAAAAGTGCTTTGCTTGGGGCCCAAAGTCAGCAGTGATGGGTCTGGAATTTGACCTTAGGTATAATTCAAAATCCTGCATTCTTTCCACAACTGCCGTTTTGGAATTAGGTATCAAGCGTGTACTGAAGCAGAGTAACTTATCCAGTAATACAAACCAGTTTAAGTTTTAGAGTTGAGACTAAAAGCTGAATCTTCTCAGTAAGTGTCTCCCAAATCCTCTGAGTCTGTGTAGCACATGCACTTTGAGGAGCATGGCTGTTTCTTTAGGGCCCATCGAATGACTGTGTTCCAGGTGGAATAGAGAATCTTCCCTTGCAGTATAATCATCATCCTAGACTGGTGTTCTGTAGCTTGGTGCACCTGTGGCTCCTTTCACCTTCACAAAGTCTTCTCAGCCCCCACACTGGCTCCACAGCAGTTTACAAATCTCCTCTACTTGTGCAACTAAAATGGAGCCCCATGAATTACAGGAGCAAAATATCATCACCCACATGAAGTATTCCTTTGTTCTCAATTATTTTTTTCTTTACCACACTCAGAGATATTTCCTTCCACTTTTCATGAGTCTCCAAAACATTTTGCCTGTGTGGATTCTCTGGATTTCCTACGTTGTTCTCCGCCAGAATCTTTAGCCATTTCTCTGTCATTGCTTCTCCGCTAGACTCTTCTAATGGTTTAAACTGCCGTGCACAATGATTCCTTTCTCTAGAGAATGCTCCTGGAGGTGCATCCTGTTATAACAATGACTTTTTTCCTACTGGGCCTTTGAACAACCAATACTTACTGGAATAAACTTTATCAAAGCAGTGAGGTAGGAGGGGAATTGTGAGCTCGAAAGAGTCATTTTATAAATCACTTCATGGGAATATGTCAGTCTCTTGTAGAATACATTTACTGAAAATTTACAAGTGGCATATGTTTTCTTCCAAGTGGTTATTCTGTGGCACTGTTCTTCCAACTTTCCTGGTCCAAGTTTTCACTAACCATAGCTTTGTACAGCAGGGAGAGGTTATAATGATGAATCTGAATTTGGAAGACTTCCATGATGATTGTGTTGACCTACTAAGAGAACCAGCGAGAAATAAGCAGACAATATTCAATGAAGAAAGGAATAAGGTAAAGAAAACTATGTAACTCAGCTATTCATTACTTTTGTTTTGAGTTTAGAGCATTGTAAAAAAAAAAAAAGGTGAATTGAGGCCTTCTTATCTAGCTGAATCGAATCTTCCAATGTAAATGCAATGTAAATGTCCTCATCCCTTACTTCCTTCTACTCCTTGCTTAGTCTTTCTTCCCTCACCCCTGCTATTTCCCTCTGAGCCCCTCCTATTGAACACTGGAACTAAGCATTTCACAGTTGCACTGGGACAGCCATTTAAATACCACACCGTCACCCTAAACCACTTCTATTTCTCCTGTCTTTAGCTGCCTTTCCCATTGTCCTTTTGTATTCAATCCCAACCTCAAATTTTACTTCTCCCTCTTTATCATACTGCCAAGCTATGATTTTCTTCTTTTACACTACCCATTGGAAGCCCTTAATACATGAAATTAGATTGTATCTTGTTCCCATAGACTCTACCTCTAAGATGATATTTCCAGGCACATGTACTAAAACATAGAATCCAACTGAAATATAAATACTAAAGTATTCAGAGAAATGTTTAAATGACTTTAAAACCTATACATTACAGATGAGTTAAGCAGGTAACAAAAACTACAAATACTCACAAAATGCAAATGTATCATGATTTCAAAAGCATGATTTAAATCACATCATTATGATTTTCAGTATAAGTTTCTCACTTTCTATTCATAGCTGCTGGACTATAGTTAGCTCTTGACTTTTTGTTTTGCCAAGTCGCCGGCTCTCAGTGTTTCTCTCTCCCCCAAGGAACTAAAGGAACAAGCAGAGTCAACATTATTCTCAACTGCCCCCAAATTAATAAAATACACATCTTGTGACATGAGAGCTAAAAAAAAAATCTCCCCACTTATTGCAGTTATCTTATGGAGAAAGATTTATCTTTCCTTGAAGTGATTACAGTTCTCAGAGCTTCTTTATAGAAACCTTTTCCACAGGTTAAATCTATGTTGAAGTCTAGTGCAATTATACAACCACCAGGCAGCAAGGACAACCAAGCAAGCAGACTTTTTGTGGGATGGCCTTGAGACATTTAAACTCGGATTCCTCTCTAAAGCAAAGGAAAGCTGCCAAACCTCGGTCATCTTGTTTGGACCTTAGTCTTCTATCAAATGGTCTTTGGTTACTCTGATTGGTCTAAATTGTACTTTCTCAACATCAGCACTATTGATATTTCGGCCCAGAGAATTCTTTGTTGTGTGTGTGGGGTGGGGTGGGGGTGGGGGAGGTTCCTGTGCATTGTAGGATGTTTAGCCTCATTCCTGGCCTCTATCCACTAGACCCCAGTAGCGCCTCTCCACCACCCAGTTATGACAACCAAAAAATGTCTATAGAAATTGCCAAACGTCCCCTGGGGAGCAAAATCACCCTCAATTGAAACTGACTGGTCAAATTAATAAAGAACAAGATTAAATGCATCACATTTTCTTAACTAAATTTCTAAGAGATACTAAATCAACATCATATTATTTTTTTTTAATTCTGCACATTTTTCTACATTGTGAACCACACACATTTACTTAGAAATGGAAGTTATTGCTACCAAAGCAAACACATTCATTTATACGTAGTAAAATTTATTTTTCTTGCTTTTATTTATTTTTCTTAGAAGAAAAATTAAAAGAACAGAATCCTTTAAATGAAAAGCAAGGTTTACTTTCATTGAGAAATCAGTTTTATTTTAATATAAATTAAAAGACATGACAGATCATCAGTTGTTTAGAAGTGAAAGTCCACAATTACGGCTGTCAAGAAGTCCCGTTGACATCATTTCACATACACATTTCAGCGTAGTTGGTACAGAGAGCAAAGTGAAAGGGCGGCAGTAATCTTCACTTTTAAACAGCTCGATCACAGTTATCCTCTTATTGTCTCTATCATTTATATTATAGGTCAGATGTAACAATTCCCCAAAACACCATGTGGGCAGATAACAAGAAGTACCAAGTAAAAAGCTTGGCCAGGAATCACTGCGTTCACTTCTGATACCCTTAAATGGTGTTGATCTTCCTCGGAAAATTATTTGAGTCAGAAAGAACAATTCCATCAAACTGTTACAAGAATATATTCATCACAGGATTTTCTCCTGGAGAGAGTAAAGTACTTCTCATTTTTCTGACCTAAAAATGCAGCAGGTGGAATTAGGCAATTCAGTAAATGCAATGTCCATTGCACTGCTAACAGAGTAGTGATGGGGTTTTATCCCCAAGGTGAGCACTGAAGCTAAATCCACAGTAATACTAAAAACTCCTAAGGTTAAATGGAGGTGCTGAGTATTAGGAGACTCACCTAAAATCACAGAAGTGTTTGACAGAAGACGAAGGCTTACGATGCCAGCATTTAGAGTTACAGAATTCTAGTGGTAGAAGGGATTTAACAATCATCTGACCAAATCTCATTTTACAGTTGAGTAAACTGAGACCAAAAGAGATTAAATAGTTGCCCTCCAAAAATCACAGAAAGTAGTGTCAGAACTGGGCAGGTAGCCCAGTTCTCCTGATTTTCAGCCATGTAACTTTCCACAAGCCCGAAGGGGAGCTCCAGGGAACTGCTGCACGTAAGTAAGCCATTTTGTAATGATCCTGGATTCCATGCCAAACTTTCCCCTCTTTCTGTTCATCTCTTTATGTGATGATTAATAAAGCAATAGCAGGGAACTACTTTCATACCAAACAATTGAGTGGAGAGCTCTTATCCAACTGGGTGAGGACAGTCCCTGGGCCCTCCTCCACTAATCCTGATTACCTGGTGGGGGCGCAGATGTTGTTCTTGAGACACTTGCTTTGGAAAAAATTGGGAAGGGGGCAAAGTATTCTTCACCATCTTTCTGTTCTCTTCTCTTTTATCTTTTCCACCCAAGTGCCCAAAAGTACCAAGTCACCCCTTGGTTGCCCAAAGCCCCTTCCCAAGGCCTTCCCTAGAAACACCTTTTGTAGACCAAGCCCCATGTTCAGTATCTTTCTTTCTTCACTTCCCATTTACCTTCATTAAATCTTATTTATCCCAAGATGAGTCTATCTAATGTGGGGATATTTGAGAAGGTAAAGTCTTGTGGTGCTCCCTTAAATTTACCACGTAGGTGGCTCCCCTCTCTATGTACTTTAGGGATTGGTTCTACGAACTTAGTTTGATGGATGTAGAATATCATTATATTCTGTCTTCCAGACACTCATTTTGTTTGTTTACATCACAGTGATTGTAAATCCAAGTGACTATGTCCATCAGTGGAAATGAAAGTTCAGAAATCCTGACAGAGATAAGATCTGAGGCTATAGATTTAGGATTAATTAAGTTACTTGTCAAAAGGTACAAATTTCCAGTTAGAAAATGAATAAGTCATGGGAATGTAATGCACAGCATGGTGACTATAGTTAAAAATACTGTATTGCATATCTGAAAGTAGCTTGAGAGTGGATCTCAAAAGTTCTCATCATAAGAAAAAAAAATTTTTGTAACTAAGTATAGTGATGGATGTTAACTGGACTTATTGTAGTGATCATTTTGTAATATATACAAATATCAAATCATTAGGTTGTACACCTGAAACTACTATAATGTTATGTCAATTATACCCCAATTAAGAAAAATTTAATTGAACATTAGATATGAAAGTGGATGAGATTTTCGAGGGAAAAAATATATAGAGAAGATTAGAGAACTTAAAGATAAGATCATACATCATTCAGATGTTTAGAAGGTGGGAAGAGAAAAAGGAATTGACAAAACAGACAAAGAGCAACCAAGGCTACAAGAGAAGCAATTTGAGAGTGAGCGATATTTTGATGAATCATCAGAATTTCCCAGCAATTTTGCTAGAATGCATCAGATTGATGCAAATATGCCCTGTCTGTGCTGAGATATATAGATTTAGCTACCCTTTTCTGTAAACATGCACATATACACACACATTTTCTTTTTACTAATAGCAAAAATGGATTCACAGTGGGAAAATATGAAAAAATATTTGGTATATGTGAATATTTGGAAATCATTTTCATAAAGGAAATCTAGACCCAGGAAACTATAGCTCAGTGAATTTTAAAAGGATTTTTTGTAAAATTCCATAATGACTTAAAAACTGAAAGCTTATTTGTATTTGGGAATAAAGGCAGAAGCCCCAAAAGCCAACATGGACTTCCTCAGAAAAATTGGTATTAAACTCACCTTATTTTGCTTTCTGAGATGGTTCTTTAATGGGTAATTCTAGGTTAGCACCAGAGGCAAAATTTATTGTGATTTCAGGAAGTTTTTTGATAAACACACTCATGATATCTCTCTTAAGATAAGTGGAGAAATGTGAACTGAATGGAAGTTTGGTCAGGTTATAACTGTACCCAAGAGTATTAAGTAGTTCATCAGTGTCAACCTGGAAGGCAGTCTGCCTTGGGGAGACATCTGACTTTGTCCTAAACTCTGCAGTGTTCAACATTTTATCAACAGTATTAATGGACAGAGGAGGCAGGAAATTTCAGTAGATTAAAAACTTGCTATGAATCAATAGTCCCAAGGGGTTCTTATAAAAACAAAAAAGAACTAATACAATTACTTTAATAAAAACATATCATGTAGATCAAGGAGATCATGATGCCACTGATTACTACCCATCTGGAAAGTAAATAAATCCTGGAAATAAACATATTTAGGGGGGAACATTAATAAGTTGAAATGTTTCTAGAAAAAGATTTGAGAAAACTCTCTCTCATTGTCAGCAGAAGTTATCTAGTAGTGTTATTTTCTGTGGAAAGTATTTGTCTATTTTAGGAATTGTAGGAAGTGAAAACATAATATCCTTGGATTCTTTTCTTTGGTTTGGCACCATCTGAAAGTGACACACAGGAGTCAGGAATCAGTAACCAGTAAAAGCTGGATTGGAGAACATGGCACAGACTTTTCTGGTGGGTTTCCCAAAGCTTCATCTCTAATTTAGATAGACGTGCCTACCCAGGCACTTGGGTGCACAGCTAGACAACTACAGGCTTTCTGTACGGGGGGTTTTCATACCTTAGAGCCAAAGTGAACGTACCATTTGGTGGAAGGCAGATCCAGAATAGAGGGCCTCAGGGAGACAGGGCTGAGCATGCTCAGTGTCTTCTTCCAAACCCTCAGTTAGGTAGGTCAATTCCTCCCCAGGAGGGCGTGAGGAGTGGGAGACTAGCATAGACGTTTACTCAAGTTTCTCTCCTAAGCTTGTTGCAAATTTTCAGACAATTTAAAAATGTTACTCTTATCTGGAGAGGCATAGGTTACTCGAAGGAGTCATTAAGGAGTTGCCTGCCCTCCTGGATGACCCTCAGATCAAGAAATATCCCTGTTCTCCTGTGAAGGAACTGATAGCCCAGTAGGAGTGACCTCCCAGAAGGCAAAGTTGATGAAAGTTCTGGGATTCTGGCAGAAGAAGAAGACCTGGAGATGTCTAGTACAAAGTAAGAGACTGAGAGGTTCCAATTCTCCAAATAGTCAACGGACTGTTAAAAGAGGGAGCAGTGGGACATCTTTCTGTGTCACTCCAGGAGGTCAATTCAGATCCATTGGTGGATACGGCAGGAAGGCAGAGATTTGCTAAATATAGGAAGATGTTTTTAATACAAGTAAAGCATACAATTCTTTTCTAAGAAAGCACCGTTTCAGAAAAAGTGTTCAAATAGAGGCTGCCAGAGTGTCATAGAGGAGATTCTTAGACTGAATGGGAGGTCAGATCAAAGTCCCTATGAGAAGGAAAATAAGCATTCTACATTCAGGAAGAGATGGAGAGAGAGGCAGTGTGAGCTGTAGTTGGAAAACCAAAAGAAGGAGGGGCTGCCCTACTGGGTATGTGTTTATTTAGTAATTTTTTTCAAATGAGAAGAGTTTTAAGAACTTCTGGCTTTTAGACTCCGAATTTAAACTTCTACTAATGGCTGAAGGAAACCCCTTTCTCTAAGCTGAGTTTATTCTTTCTCTGAGGATAAGTCATATCTGTGGGATAGCAGAGGAACATTGTTTTGTTTTTGCTTCTAACCTTCAATCTGAAAACACCTTTATTTCTCAAAAATCATTTATAAAATGTGTGTCACGTGCAGGACTATGGGCTAAAGTGAAGAACGTGAAGTCAAGGCAAGACATAACTTTTTTATGTGCAAGGAGTAGCAACAGGACCAAAACCAGTAATTGCTAATTAAGTAAAAATGCACCCAAAATGCTGAGGAAAGGCAAAGAAAGAAGTCGACATAAAAGAAGCAGGTTGGGATAGATGAGATCCCGTTCAGCTTCAGTGTTCTTTTGAGTCTATGTCAGATGGATATTTGAGCATCTTCTTAACCAAGAGATAGACGTGGATTAATGGGGAGAAACACTAGAACAGTGTCAGCAGGAGGCGGAGTACTGTTATTCACGGCATCCTAGCATGACCTATACTCCACATGGGACAGAAGGATAAGTGGCAGGTGGTTGTCTGTTGTATCTTGGTGTGTTCGCTTGTGAAAGGCCACAACGTGTGATTGTACCTCCCCCACTAGGCTGTCATCTCCACAAGGGCAGAAACAGGATCTACTTTTACTCACCATTTCCTCTCTCTCACAAGTCTAGCATGGTATCTAGTATATAACAGGTGCTTAATCAATATTTTTCAGTGTAAGGATAAAACTAATGGACTTTAAGAAATAAAACCAGTCATTACAAATGGCTTTTTCCATATGAGGTTCTTAGAGTAATCAAATTCATAAAGACAGAAAGTAGAATGGTGGTGGCCAGGGGCTAGGGGAAGGGCAGAATGGGCAGTTGGTGTTTAAACGGGTTGAGTTTCAATTTGGGATGAGGCAGAAGTTCTGGAGACGGATAGTGGTGATAGTTGCACAATAACATGAATGTATTTAATGCCACTGTACTATACACTTAAAAATGGTTACAGTGATAAATTTTGTGTTATATATTTTTTACCACAATAAAAAAACAAAAAAATAATGGCTTTCCTGAGAAAGGAAAGGAGGTAATTCTAGCAGGGTCTGAGAGATCACCTAACAAGCGAGTCTCCGATGTTTAGGAACTGTGTTCACATGGAGCGTAGGCAAAGAAACCGAAGCAGAATTTGCTGGTGGAAGGAGACACCTCAGGTCATGATTTGAGACACGTTGATCCAGTCCAACCGCTTCCTTTCAGATGAAAACTAGGGCCTTCTCTCTTCTGTTTCACAAGCTCTATCACATTTCACTCAGAGACATGAGGTCAGTTTACCAATTCCTTAGTCATGGGACAGGACTGTGACCAGGGTAGACGGACAAATGGTTTCAAGTTCCGGAATGCTTGTGCCAAGGCTCCAAGCTTTAACTCACTGTAGCTTTGCTCAAGTTGTCTCTCTGGAGTTGAGTTTGAGACCTATAAAAAGAAAACTCTATGCCTAACTCAAAGCTTTGGCTTTTCTGTTTTGAAGGAGCAGGAGCAGGTAGCAGATATTTTGGCCATCAATGGACCCGGAGAGGGTCAGCTTTCCCAGGACCCGAAGCAGCTGTCCTCTGCCAAAGAGAGTAGCGCCCAGCACCTGCTCCTGCCCGCAGACGCGCTTTCAGGAGAAGAATATGAGTGTGCCTCGCCTGATGACATCTCCTTGCCTCCACTCCCAGGAAGCCCCGAATCCCGCCTGGCACCGTCCGACATGGAAGTGGAGGAGAGTGCCAGCCCCTCCCTCAGCCTTCATTTAAGCAGCTACGGGATGCAGGGGGAGGCCCAGGAATCTGGCCTTCCACCACCTGCTGCTTTTGCTGATGCTTGCAAGGATAAGAGAGAAACATTTTCAAGCCATTTTGAGAGACCTTACCCCCAGGTCAAAGCTGAGCTCCCATTAACCTCCCGAGGATTTCTGGAAAAGAGTACTGCCGTCCGCAAAATCAATGCTAAACATCCAGAGAGCATGCCGAGTGAAGTGCATGAGAGAGCTTTACAGCAGCACCCTCAGGTTCAGGGAGGTTTGCTAGAAACACAGGAGAAAATGCATGCTGAGAATAACATCACTAAAACCCGAGATAGGCTGCATGCTTCCCAGGATGCATTCTCCGGCCTAAGGTTTCCATCAGGCCCCAGCCAAGCCTATCAGAGGCAAATGGCTCCCCGAGAAGAGATTAAAAGTACCTCAGAAAAGAACAGCGTGGTCAGCCTAGCTGGCCAGGCACCTAATTTCTCCAGGCTCCTGTCTAATGTCACTGTCATGGAAGGTTCTCCAGTGACTTTGGAAGTTGAAGTAACAGGATATCCAGAGCCTACACTGACCTGGTGGGTAGCCTATAATGACAAGCCATAAACAGAAACAAATTGAATCACTGCAAACCATTCTGTGTGCACTAACTTAAAGGTTTAGGGACAGCTGATTAATATTCTCCAACACTGCCACTCTGCATGATTCAACCTCACATCAAACCCCCAACTCTCATTTTGGTAGCAGCATGGCTAATACCGTTAAGAAAAAAGTAACCATGTAAAAGAATAATTTAACAAACTTCAAAAGCACTACAACTTTGCCATGCTTTGCTTTTGTTTTTGTGTTGTCTGTTTAACATTCCACATTTTAAAGATTGTGGGTTGAAATTCTTTTGCATTGTTTATTTCTACATAAGCATGACATGTTCTTGGTTTAACATCCCTTATTCAATTAAAAAACATAAGATTTGGGTTTTTCCCTTTTCTTTCATTTACCTATTTCATCTTTTCCCTTTTCCCAACAGTCACACATGCCACTTTTGTAATATTTGTTTGTTTCACTAAGAATACTTTTTGTAAATTTCTTCAGTGTGAGAGACGGAATAAAAATATTTCTTTCACAGTTGCTCCTGGTGACAGGTAATAAACCCATTTTTCAAAGGTGGTATAATAACAGAGCTGTGAACAGTCTGATTTCACTCTGGAGACGTCATTATTTTTTAAGTCTATTTGTTTTCATAGGAGTAAAGTGCAGAATACAGGTTTTGAATTACCTATTGTTATAAAAACAGTTCTAAGTTTCTCAATATGTGGTTTACTTTTAAACACTTAGAAATTTTCATCCTTAAGTAGTTTTGAGGACAAAGTTACAAATATGTAAGAATGAGTTTATATTTTAAGATAAATAAAATAGCATTTATTTATCACAATATTTCAGTAGATATTAAATTAGCAATTTCAATTATCATGTGTGCCCATTGATGGTACTTGAAGTGTGAATCAGTTATCTAAAGAATTTATGAGAGGGCCGGCTCCATGGCTTAGCGGTTAAGTGCGCGCGCTCTGATGCTGGCGGCCCGGGTTCGGATCCCAGGAGCGCCCCGAGGCACCACTTCTCCGTCCAATGCGAGGCCGAGTCCCACGTACAGCAACTAGAAGGATGTGAACCTATGACATACAACTATCTACTGGGGCTTTGGGGGGAAAAAACTGAATA